AGGGCCAAAGGATTCATTGCCTGCAGCCTATTTAACATCACTGCATGGTAGGTCACCGAAAAGGACACAATGAATCCAATTAAGTCAGGAACAGAAAGGGGATTAGATTTGGAGAGCCTGGAAGGCCAGACGCAGTGGGCCTCCCAAGCAGATACGGTGAGCGATTCCCTTTGGCTACACATTTGTTTTCACCCACCCTAACCCACTCTCCTGGCTTTTTGGTTGGAACAAGCGCTAGTGTACTGGATTAAGAACTGAGATAATGCGGACTGAAGAGAGATATACTTGAGAAAGGGTTCCTAGAAATGAGATGGGATAATAGGAGTACGGCTCTCTGAGTTCGTCCTGGTTGTTAAATGTCCAGGTTGTGTCAAGATTCGTGGGCACAAATAACAACTGTAGAATTTTCGAGCTTAAAGAGAACGCTAGAAATAATCTTGTTCAATGTGCTAATTTTATGGACTAAGACCCTGAGAAGCAGAGAGCTCGAGCAATTTATCAAAGGCTACCCAGCTAGCCCATGGCAGAACTCCGACTGGAACCCAGGTCTGTCTCCAGGTCATTACACTTTCTAGTTTCCTGTTGAGCCTCAGCCTAATGAGGCAACAAGAGGACACACCACAGTGACACAATCAATTTGTTATCCCAGAATTTTTAAAAAGCTCGCCTTACGAGGAAGCACGTGAAAAATATTAGTTTCCTGGTAAAATGGAAAATGGAGGCAGCCTGTTATACTGCATAGCACCGGATTTGCAGTCAAGAGGGAGCTGGGTTCAAGTCTTGCCTCTGACGCTCACTCGATCCCTCTAAACCTCAGTTTCTTCATTTGTAAGACTAGTAGGACTCATAAGATTTTGGGTAGGCGCAAACGAGATCATGCACATGAAGTAAAATGTAAGCTCCTAGAGGGTGAGAACAGTTTCTTTTTTGTCTTAGTATCTCAGCAAAGTGTCTGGTACATAGTAAGTACTTGATAAATGTTTACTAAATTGTTGATTTTTTTTGAAATGTTTTTATAAAAACTGTATAAGTACTGTATAAATATCAGCTATAATTATTATTTTAATTGAAAAAAAGTTTACCAGGAGATCAGTGGTTTTAGCCAGTTCATAGAGACCTTGGAGGTCATCTGTCCAACCTCCTTATTTTTATGGGTTAGGCAATGAAGTGAAGGAACTGATGTCAGGGTGAGAAGGTAGTAAGTGAATGACCTCAAATCTGAACCCAGGGCCAATGGGATTTCCATGAAGCATGATCCTTTAAACACTGAATAATAATAATAATAATGTTGTTGTTGCCATTGATTCTTTATTTGTGGATCAGGTGGGTGATTTCACTGTTGTATGGCACCTCTAGTGGGAAACTCCCTCTGTCTATGCAGATTAACAACTCCTTTGGAACTTGTGGTCTTAGAGAGCTGCTTACGGCACTAAAAAGTGAAGTGACTTTTTATAATAAACCTAGAACTGGAAGAAATCTCAGAAGCCATCTCATCCAACCTCCTTTTTCAGATGAGGAAACCGAGGTCTAGGAGGTTAGGTAATTTACACAAGGTCATACAGACAGTAATGGTCAAAAGCAGGATCTGAATTCAAGACCTTTGATTTCAGTTAGTACTCTCTTCATTTGTCCAGGGTCACAAAGTCAATCTATATCAGAGGCAGGACTCTAACTGAGGTCATCCCGACTCCAGGGCTGGCTATCTCTCTTTACAAAAGATAGGCAGATTAGACCCCTGCCTTTGCCAAAGGTTTAAATCAACATGGTATCCTTTTTTTTTTTTTAATCAATGAAAAACTACTTTTTAAATGGAAAAAATTTGGTTGCTTAACTATTCACCTAGGTCCCTTATAGTCACATTTTTAAATTCCCACAGAGCTGATTATTTCCCTCATCCTTCTGTTGTAGATAAATTGCCCTCCAAACAGTTTACTGTCTGATAAGTTTTGTCTAAGACCTTCCAACCCAAGATTCTTTTGGCTTAGTGAGGCCCATAAAAACTCCATGACATTTTTATAGAATGAGCTATTTGTCTTGATGTGTTTGGACAAATTTTACTGACTGGCATGAAATCTATAAGCAAATGAAAGGCTGGTGTACTTTAATAGTGTGCTAGTTAAACTATTTGCAGAAGGGAAGTGTCCAGCAGGAATGGAAATCACCTTGGTTGAATAGGCAGCTAGGTGGCACTGTGGGTGGAGCACTGGATTTAGAATTAGGAAGACTTATTATTAGCTTTGTGATCCTGGGCAAGTCATTTAACTTTTGTCTGTCTCAGTTTCCTCATCTGCAAAACGGAAATAATACTAATAGCATTTACCTCCCAGGACTGATGCAAGGATAAAATTAGATAACATATGTAAAGCACTTTGCAAACCTTAAAGTGCTATAAAATATTCATCATCATCATCAACATCATCATCATCATCATCATCATCTTCTTCTTCTTCTTCTTCTTCTTCTTCTTCTCTTCTTCTTCTCCTCTTCTTCTCCTCTTCTTCTTCTTCTTCTTCTTCTTCTTCTTCTTCTTCTTTTCCTCTTCCTCTCCTCCTCCTCCTTCTTCTTCTTTTCCTCTTCCTCTCCTCCTTCCTCCACTTCTTTTTTTCCCTTCTCCTCCTCCTTCTTCACCGAACTGGAGGATACTAAAACAAAAAGCCCTGGAGTTTCATCTCATAACAAAGCTAATTGTGTGTTGGTTAGAAATTGGTAAGACAGGTGTGTATGGCAGTTATAGGGAGGACTGGACTTGTAGAGAAGAGGAGAGAAAATCTCTAGGTAGAAGCAGTGGAAAGTAGTGGAAATAATATTATATTTAGAGTCAGTAAGATCTGTATCAAATCTGATCTCTGTTAGTTCTACATAAATGACCTTAAACAAGTCACTTAAGACACATATACGTATCAGGACTACCCTGTGACTTCATTGGTATATAGAAGTTCCCGGTATGGAAATTCTCTCTATCAATGAAGTTCAACATCTCTGTAACTTTTGGTCTGAGAGAATTACCTAAAGCACTCAGAGGTTAAGCGACTTTCCCAATGTCACACATCTAGTATGTATCAGAGGTAGGGCTTGAACACAAATGTTTCTGTCTGATTCCCTTTTCTCTGTGCCTTAAGGTAAATTGTTATGACTGCAGTGGCAGTACAATAAGGATCCTAGGAGTTAATCATGGAATAATGGAAAAAAGGAAAAAGGATCAGAAAAGAATCGAGGATTATAGTCAGTCAATAAACATTTATTAAGTGCCTACTATGTGCTGGGGATACAAAGAAAGGCAAAAACCAGTTGCTGCTCTCCCAAGGAGCTCACAGTCTAATGGAAGAGCCCAGTTTACTCTTATCTACATGTGTACATATTCAAGTATATTTCACTCTTCGTAAGTTAAAAATGGCTCAACTTACATTGAATTAATGCCCCTCAAATGTAGATAATAGTCATACATAATTAAATCTATTTGGAGACAGATGATTCATTCCCCAGGATATGGAAAGAAAGTTTGCTTTTGGCTCTAACAGTGCAGAACAGTGATGTTCAACCTATGGCCCTTGCATGTCTATCTTTTGGAGACCAAATAATGAAGGTGTTCAGTTTTCGATGCCATATTTTAGGAAGGACACTGACCATCTTAAAAGCATCCAGAAGAGATCCATCCAGAGGATGATGAGGGGTCTTGGAATTGTATCATATGAGAGTCAGTGGGACTTGGGAGCTGTCTCCAATGTACATCATATGGGCTAGACTAGATAAGAGGTTCTTAACCTGGAGTCCATGAACTTAATTCAAAAATATTTTAATAACTGTATTTCAATATGTCAGTTTCTTTTGTAATTTTATATATTTTATCTTATACATTGAAGAGCACCGTTTTAGGAAAGGGTCTGTCTGTAGCCTTCACCAGAGTGCTAAAAGGCTTCAGGACACACAAAAAAAGTCAAGAATTCTTGGTTTAGATGACTTCTGAAGTTTCTCCTCTGAGAGAATCTGTGATTCTCTCTCTCATGTATAGGTATTATTCTTTTTCAAATGTATGCTGATGCTCTTTTTATCACTAAAATACAATTTCATTTATAAGTGCTACTGAATTCATAGTAGCTTTTTATCACCACATATTTTTGTATTTTCTCAATTGACAGATGTTAATGACAATTATCGTGGGGGGAGGGAGGCTCTGTGAAATGTTTAGATGTTCAAAGGGCTCTTCATATTAAAAAAAGCACTGATGGCTTGGGAGAGAAAGAATAGAATTGTACCTAAGGCTGAGGGTTCAGGTTGGTCCCAGGGCCCTGAGTTTAGAGGTAATAAATGGGTACTTTCTGTCTTTCCTTCAGCAGAATGGAAACATCTGAGCTTAGCACTAGTTTGCAAGTACGATTAGTTGAAATAGAAAATTATCAAATTGTGGTTGCCTAGTCCTGTAATTGTACTCCTTCTCTCATGAGCCTTATGGAATAGCCTTGGGCTGGCATGCAAAGGACTCTTATTTCCCCATTGTGGGGCAGTGAGACTTTACACTCCTTGTCCCAGGCACAAAAATTCCTAGTTATGATAGACATTACACAACTAAAACCAGTAAACAAATACCCAAAGAATAAATACATTTTTACAACCTTTCTCTATTTCTTTGAAATCACCACCATCCCTCCCCCACTCCCCACAGCAGTTTATCATGCAATTAGAATTTGGGAAAATATCACATTCAGATCTTCAAAGGTCACGCAACACCACTATGAGTGCCTGCATCAGGAACAGTGTTCTTGGGATCCTTATGAAGGTGTCAGCATCTCATTTAATTAAAGTTGGAGCCCAGGGGTGGGTGACCTTAATTTTTCCTTCAAAATTAGTTTCAGAAAAATGATTTCCTTAAACCTACATTAACCTAAGGTGGCATCCTTATGACTGCTGTGCCCAGGGCTACCTTTCTGGTGGCCCCATCTTTCCCTTGGGTTCTAGAATGAGGGGGCCCCCTCCCTGGGGGAGGGTCAGACTCGAAGATTTACCTGCCAGTACAACTTGATGAGTTTGCTGACATACTGCTCGCTTCCTCCTGATAACCAGTACATATAATCAGCGATCATGGCACTCCTGAAGGGCAAACACAAAGAAAGAGAAACAAATTCATAAAACAAATGACAAGCTCCCAAATCTAGCACAGGAAACAGTGCATTGAATACAGCAATTACAAAAAGTAAATATTTGCATTGCCATCACATTAAATAAGTTGTAAATCCTTCTGCAACCTCTCTTAATTCCAGTGCCCAACCTCTGTTAATTATTTCCCATTTATCCTGAATATAGCTTGCTTTCTATTTGTTCGCATGTTTTCTCCTTCATTCGATTGTAAGCTCCTTGAGGGCAGGTACTGTCTTTTGTCTCTTTGTACCCGCTGCACTCAGCACAATGCCTGGCACATTGTAGGCACTTAATTAATATTTATTGATTGATATCTGTATTGATATTCTGCTGACCTGTAGGCCTAAAGCAGCAGTGTATGCTTCTCTTAGTTGGTTTTTTTTTACTTCTATTTATACAGTATACAAATATTTAGAAGCTGCAAGAGAAGGCTTTGCTTCAGTTGCTTCTTATTAAACTTTAGAGCATTTGGGGACTAAATTCCATTTTATAAACTGAAATGCCTTCAAAGTTATAACGGCATAGATGGCTAACTGAAACACAGGCTTTAAGCATATCTCTCTCTTTGCTGAAGTAGAAACTTGTTTGTTTTTGATTAAATTAAGCCTCCTTAGAAATTTCCAAGAAAAAAAAATCTCACCAGCCTCCTCCCCCACCCCAACATCTTTGTCTCTAATTGAATCTGTTTCAGTATCCAGAATACTTGTTACAACCATTGCATTCCTCTCATTAGACTGGGGGAGGGGGAGGGGGGGATTAAGGGAGCTGGGGGAAGGGCTTAACAACTATCATGAAATGGATATTAATGCGTTGTTTGAATGCAATTTGGAAGAACGTTTTGCTTTTATGGCTGCCTCTCTGCTAGGCCTCTCTATTTCTTTTCTCTAGAGATTCCAAATCCAATTAAATGTGACTGGAAGTAATTCCAAATTGTCACGTTAGCCAATTAAACATATAATAATCCCGTGTGCCTAATCACAAGCTCCAAAAGTTTATTTATTGAAGTAGAGCTATCAATGTGTACCCCTGGATGTTTTCCTTATCTTGGTCTGCAGAAATGTGTTGTTTCTTGACATTCTTGTAAATTGAATTTGAAAACTTCCCTCCCTAAATACAGGCGTCTCAGACATAGCCCCATTACAACTCAGCTGGGGATGGTGTAGTGTAAGTAGCTAGGGTGCTGACTCTGAATCAGGAAAATCTGGGCTCAGATTCAGGTTCTGAAAATGCCTGGGAGACCATGGGGAAGTCATTTATGGCTCCTCCCTCTCAGTCTCACCTTCCTCACTTTAGTAGCAAGGGGAGTTTGAGTGCATCACGTCTAAGGCGCCTTCCTGTTCTAGTTCCAAATCTAAGGATGAGGTGAAATCCTTAGAAAGTCTGGGTTGTTCTCACCTGCCCCAGAAGATAAAAATTGAAAAAACACCAATGGAAGGAAAAATGATCATTTTGGAATTGGCCCTAGAATTAAGAAAATGAAGCATTGATGTGTTCCCCCCCCCCCCTTCCTGTTGTTCCTTCTTCGTTTTTGAAGAGGACCAATGACATCAGGAGGGTGATGTCTTGACTTTCAAGTGAATTGGGTTTGAATGTGGCAGAGCTGAATAAAGTCATTCGCTTCACTCTCTCCTCCGCAGTCATCAGAATCTAGTGGCAAGATAAGAATCAAGAGGCCGGGTGATGGACCAGGATGCAGTAGATGTGGCCAACTAGTTAGACTTGGGAATGAAACTATCCATTTAAAATTCAAAATTTTAAAAAAAACTTTCGGAAGAGAGAGTGGGGGCACTTAAGACGTACTGGGGACTGTGCATGTCTGAATCCCACAGGTAACAGGAGAAAGGTAGGTCCACTTCAGAGCTCGGAGAATGTCAAAATCACTTGGAAGAATTCTACTGCAGAAAGGGCAGAAAGATTGGGCATCACTGAAATTGCTGACTGATTTTCCAAATGCAATCCAACCTGCTATCTTTCTCCTAGGTGATGTAGAAGATGGAGATCCTGACTTAGAGCAGGAACATCTGAGTTCCAATCCTACCTCAGACACTTATTAGCTCTGTGACTCTGGTTAAATTCCTTCATCTCTAGCCTCAGTTTCCTCACCTGTAAAATGGGGAAAGTAATAGTATCTACCTTACAGGGTTGTTGTGAGAATCAAATGAGAGATTATCCATGAAGTGCTTCAGAAACCCTAAAGCACTATATAAATTTTAGCTACTGTTATCAATTCCATTGACATTTCACTAGCTCAACAAATTGTGATACATACAGGTAATGGGGTATTATGATGATGAATATGAGGGATTCAAAGAAAGATGGCAAGGCTCTTATAAACTGATGAAAGGTTAGGTAAACAGAACCAGGAGAACAGCATTCATAGCTATTATCACAATGTTAATGGAGAGATCAACAAAATTAAACTTAGTGCTGCTTATTTAAAATAGTGAAGTTTGACCCAAAAGAAGAGATCAGAATATGTACTTCTCGCTCTTTATTAGAAAGTTCAGGCCATCATGTGTTGTTTGCATATTGGCTGGTTTGACTATTTTTCAATTTGAAATTTCTGGTACAGGAGACTCCACCTTAAGACTTTTAAAATCTTTGGTCCAAAGGATGGTTTGGTGGGGAGGGATGTCTGGAGTGATATATCAGTTATAAGTATGATAGAAAGCAAAAGACATCAATAAAACTAAAGAAGAGGGAAAAGATGGTAGATGCCTCTAACATTTTTTCTACACTAATTGCTTACTCAAATGATAAGCTTAAGGGATTCACGTATTGGGTTGAAAATTTGTTCTTAAAAAACCAGAATCTCATAAATTTACAGATTGTTGGTGTCCCACATTGCCATCTTGTGTCCACCATTTTGTCTGTGTAGCTGTTGTCAGCTGGAACTCTGGGCCTCTGGGTTTGCTCAACAAACCATCCTTAATAAAGATTCTGGTTATCAGTTAAATAAATAAATAATTAGGCTGAGGGCACAATAAGGATCGCTGGTACAGTTTATTCGTTTGCTGTTTGTTGTCAGACATTAATAGGATGCCAGAATTCAAACGTCCCAGCCAAAGACTATTTCAGTTCTAAGTTATACGTGTTCCTAGCTCAGCCTATGCAAGAACATTGCAGTTCGTGGTTGCAGTATTAGTGGACCAAGAGATCTAGAGAGACTAGAAAATTCAGGTAGTTGAAAAGGCATAACAAAACAATGAAACAAAAAGACCAAATGGGAAGAATTATGAAGCTGGAAGATGAGAGAAGGTAATTTGACACTAATAAAACAATAAGTCAAAATGGTTGGGTTTTAGGGATTATTGCTATGGTAGAAATAAAAATGTTATTATTTTGAACATATTTTGTATTTCTCACTTGTTTACATGTCATGCCTCCAACTAGAATGTAAGCTCCTTGAGGGCAGTTAACGTTTGTCATTTAAAAAAATCTTCTTCTCCTATTACCTAGCCCAATGCCTTGCATATGGAAGGTGCTTAACAAAATGCTTGTTAAATCAAATTTGAAAAAAGAAATTCCTAATTTTAATTTTTAAAAATTCCTAATTTAAGCTTAGGGAACATTGTATTGTTGATGTCTCACTCTCCTTTATCCCTAATCAACCAGTCACTTGAGGACTCTCATCTACCTTCACAACGTCTTTTAGATCCAACCCATCCTCTCTACTCACAGAGCTACCATCTTAGTTCAAGTCCTCATTACCTCTTGGCTGGATGTGTTTAACATCCTCCTAACTGGCCTTCCTGACTCAACTCTCTCCCCTCCCCAGCCCATCTCACACACCACTGCCAATGTGCCTTTCCCTAAGCACAGATCTTGCTGTTTCCCTACCCAATCAGTTCCAGTGTCTCCCTATTTAGCCTTGAGGATAAAATACAAACTTTTCTATTTAGCTCTTTTCCCAAGAAGGCAACCTCTCTTGCCGACCTCTTTGGGCACTGCTCCCCATCCTGCATGCTGTGATCCAGTCACATCTGCCTTATTTTCTTTTCCTTACGAACAGCACTCTCATTTTTCCAGTCTCTGTGCCTTCATGATAGCTATATCCCATACCTGGAATGCTCCCCTCTGCCTTAGAGGGTCCCTCTCTTCAAGACTCAGCTTAATTACCACCTATGTTACCATCAGCTTTTCTGATCTCCCAATTGCTACTGCCCTTCCTCTCAAAGCTCCCTTATATTTAATTAATGTATAGTAATTAATGTATAATAATAGAATAACATATATACATCTATGAAACATTAATATATAAATACTTTAGATACACTAATATATAAATAAATGCCAATATTTATTTGCTTTATATTTATGTTATATATATATATTATATGCACTTGTTTTTTTCCCATTAGAATGTAAGTACCTATCAAAGTGTGATGGTTTTATTCTTTGTCTTTTCATCTCTGGCACCTAGCACATAGTAGGTGCTTAATAAATGCTTGCTGATTGGTTGACTGATTGAATGTATTTACCACTTTGCCCATGCTGGGGCTAAACGCACAGCTTATAGCAAGCCTCATGATAGAACGTAAGCATTATAAAGAGCTTCATATACTTTCTTCTCATTAGATGCTTAATATAAGCTCCCTGAGGACGGGCACTTGGGTGCCTGGCACAGAACGGGTACTTGACAAGTATAAGTTGATTGCTTAATTGAGTGATATGGGAAGCATCACTATTCTGACTTTATAGCTGAAGAAACAGGCTCCTGGAGGCTTGCTTTATGTCACACAGTTAGTAGGTGGTGGAGTTAGGGTTCAAGCCAACTTCTCAATTCCTCATTAAAATTTGTTGTTAAGTCTGGCTTGCTTTCCGTGAGTGTGAGTGCTCGCTGATTGACTGAATTGTAGCCCTGGTAGTTTCTCCTTGGAGGGGGAGGGAGGATGCCCCTTCTGCCAGACACTTCTCTTTTTTCCCTAATTTTGCCTCCTGCTTCCTTTTCA